AATTTTCATGATGGTTTAGAAGAACAGGTACGCATAACTCTCTAGTTACCTTGTACTCTCTCTTAATTAATATGTAATGGAACACTTGTCAGACTGAAGGAAAGTGAATGACAAATGCCTGTCACAGATATGGACTCTTGATGTCGGCATAATTTTAAATAAAGTCTATATACTTTCTCTAGTCACCTCTTTCCACGTGGCAAGTTTTGTCCCAGGTAGTGATTTGGATGTATATCTCTAGTTTGCCAAATGAACAAGGAAAACGCGAATCAATGTATAGTCAAAAGTCTGTTGCTCTTGTGTTATATATATTTTCTTTTTTTCTTCCTCTGTGGGTTTTCTTATCATCATCAGGGCATCCGGATTAATTGGATTTGATGGTTGTGTTAGGGACTCTTTAACAAACACTAATGTGCAATATCAGTCATCAATTACATGTACCCCACAAGCTCGGATCCGTTAGTTATAAAGGTCCTACGCATACCTACCCACAAAACATTGACAGCCATACATTCAAAACATCTGATTATTCAATTGTGCTTCACAACCACTTGCATATTGAGGTCAATAAGGGAGATATGACTCCGGATCTTCTGCCCATGAGAACCCTGCCTATGCCTACTTACAATACATCATCTCCCGTGAATTGGAAACATTTCCCCTTGTATAATACTATACAGAGGATGAGATGTTCTCCATGTATGACTGTAATAAATATGAACAGGGTTCTTGTGGGCAGGAGGTCCGGGCTCAGGAGATATATTTTTTATGCACACCAAGCTATAGTGTCCTGTGAGTATGGATGTGAAAACAGTTTATGGGTAGGAGATTAGGGTTGAATTGTCTTCACTGTCTTCACTGTCTTCACTGTCTATTCAATATGTGAAATGCTCAACCGAATTTGGCCCATATTGTGCATTTGGATCTCTCACCCAAAAAAACTCAACCATGAGGCATTACAGCCGTGCATTAGGAACATTTCCCATCTTTATATATTGTCATTGATGGGAAGATATATATTTCTGGTGTGTGAATGTCGTGTCATGTGAGTTGATCTGGACTGCAAAATTGCACAGAATTTCCTGGTGCCAATCTTTGAATAGGGTGGGTCAGGGAGGTCTGGGTTGTAATAATCAAGTCTAGGTGGATTAGAATCCATCCTATGCTGTTGAAAGCATTTCTGTGCCGGACACGTTAACTCATTCACACTCACATCTAACTGCACTCGAATTTCCTACTCGCTTTTCTTACCCACTCTATACTGGTCGTGAATTAAAGCTATACATCTCTATTATGAATTGAGAGATGTGTGACCTCCAATTCACTACAGATAGAGAGTGAGTAGAAAATTTAGGCTCCGTCTAACTGTTCAATCAAAAGAAAATAAGAGGCAATGCACTCTCATGGCAACCTGCCATTTTCCAACAATATTCTCAACATCATAGGCTGTTGGCCCCCAACAACCAAAGTTTTTCCATCTTTACCCAACTTTATCTATTATCATCCATAAAACGCTACCCACACTCTATCCATCAAACGCTACAGTCCCACAACGTAAATCAGTCCCCATCAATGACTATACAAATGCTAAACATAAACATATTTGTGATGTGCAACTGTAGCATATTGTGGGCAGCAAATCCGATCACCTTGCTTGTGCACTGAGTTTATAAAAAACTAGAATTTAGAAGCTAGAGGTTCCAAACTCCAAAGTCAGCCCTTTGTCCCACTAACAAGTTTCTCCCCATCCAAACATCAAGCTAACGGTTTATACCAAGCTCTCAAGTAAGAACCTGGATTTTATGATTTCCATTTTCATTTTGGGTGTCTGTTTTAGCCGAAAATATTGAAATTAAGGCTGCATTTGGTTGCAATGCAATATTATTTGCATTAATACAAAAGCATTGAAGTATGCAAATTCTGGTTTAAAACAAAAATAAATCTAAATTTGCACCTATATCATAGTTTTGCATCAGTGTAAAACCGTAAATGAATGTGCCCTGCAAACGATCTGCTGACAATGAAAAATAAATTAAGAAAATCAGTAAACGTGGATGCAGTGTTACCGTTAACAGGTAGACGAATCAGTGGGTCCTTCAACTTGAACGGACAGTCCTGATTTAACATCATCCCTTGACCACACCCTTCACCCTTGATGACTTCCAGCATCTGAATTGGAAGATGTTGATGGCCCACGTATACCTGCCCGTTGTTTGGGGATTTGGTGGGACGACTCCCAGTGGCAGAAAAAAACCATGATTCATAAGTCATAACCGATCTGGAGTCTCTAGTTTGTACTTTGTCCCTTCTCTAATCTTTTTAGCGTTTACGATTTTTATATGGTTTGTTGAGAGTCTTGCGCGTGTTTGATTGTTTCCATTTGCAGTCTCCGGAGTGGCTGGAAACGAGAGAAGTAAGAAAATCGGTGGGACCCACCCTGTCAGATGCTTTGACAAGAACCCGGTTTTGAGTTGAACCCCTGGGCCGTTAGATTGATTAATTTTTTAAAATTTTTTTTTTTGCGCCTTTTGCGGGTCCCACCACCAACGTCCTCGATTTTCTATTCTCCAACGGGGATGGCACACGTGCTTGCTGAGTCATGCCTACGTGTGTCTGATGTCAGCTGCTGGTGACTGTGCCGACCAGCAAGTTTCAGCCTTTCAGGAAAACCGTGAAAATTTCACCCATGGAGGTCTAAATGGGAAGGAGTACAAATGTAAAGTGAAAAATTTTATATATTGTATTATTTTTTATATATTTACACTGTATATATTTATATTTGTACTCCTTCCAAACTGAACCGGAGCATTTTCAGAGTTTAGCCATGGCGTATTTTCTAAATTTTTATGCAGGTTACATCATAATTTCAATCAATCATCTTAAAAACGTTGCATCTTTATTTTTTATTGGTTCATATTGCATAAAATATATTATAATGAAAGACTTTTGTAATGTTAAAGATTGTGATAAAACTAGCAATTTTCTTTTTTTTTTGGGAAGTGGGCGAATTATATAAATTTTTTGGGCTTATGACAATGAAAACATATATTAAGTAGGGGACTTAGGGGTGAGCATTATTCAATTAAAATTGGACCAAAAATTGGAGAGAAATGGGACATGAGGATTTGGGTTTATTATGACCTTTGTGAAAGAAAAAATAAACATTTTTTTTTTTTAATTTTGGGAATTAAAGGGAGAATTTTGGTAGAATATATCAGAAAAAAATGAAAAAAAGGGTGATTAATTATTAGTGATTTGATTTTGGTGTATTTTTGATAATATATTTTTTGTAGTAAAAACTATTTTACACTCTACCTCAGAAATCTAAATTTCACTGTAGACCTACAATAATTCAAAATTTTAAATACCCTCACTTATAATACTAATACCCGCCCATGTATGGACATCAATTTCAGACTAGCGCACCCAATTGTAGATAAAACTTATATTTGTTGGAGTGGACTGAACAATAAAAACCCCCTTGCATATATTAACATCAGTACCCACAAACGCACCATCAATTGATTGCTACATATTGGTTGATGGGTACTTATCTGAAGGTCGTAATTATCCAATCAATTGTCCAATTCGGGCCCGCACTTTGTCCACTTTGATTAAAAGGGAAGCTAATGTGAACGTAACGTTTTTTTGTATTTTATGCATGTATTGGATCTTATTCATAACTCTATTATGTATTTTTGTGGTTTCACCGTTAGGGTTGACTACTCTCGACCTGGCTTAGCTCCGGGTTGAACTTAACTTAGATCATTTTAACTCAGCTTTGACCTCAAAACCAAATCATATTTGATCCGGCTCGTTTTCATGCATTTTACATCAAGGTTGTGTTTGGTTACTTGTAAAATGTGAACTAATAAAAACAAATGGGCTTTAAGGTGTTTGGTGAAGATCTGAATTTTAACATGCAGAAAATATTAGGGAATAGACTGGTTGAACTCCTTGGCTAATGTTTGAAATGGATGCCATTTTTTATTATTTTTTTGAAAAATGGCACCACATTAGCACCATGCCTGAAATCTATTTTTTCAAAAAAGAATTTCTCAGACCATGCGTTTGAAACGGGGAAGTGTGGTATGAGAAAATGTCCTATTTTGGTATTTTTGGTAGTTTTCAAGGTTTTTAAAATCGAATCGGACAATGAACTGGTTAGGGATTCGGTTCTTGAGTCGAACGGTCCAATCATTCGAACTGAATAGATGATCTATTCTGACAAAAGAATTAAAAAAAATGATTAAAATGATTAAATGATTTAATCACCCAATTTATTAATTTGTTGACCAAATCAACAATTTTAAGATAAAACAGAACTGATCACCTAACAGATTCCCAATTTTTCTGTTTTGAAAACCATGATATTTTCGCAAACGAAAATAAAGAGCGTTTTCTAATAAAACGACATGTAAATACAACAGTGTTTTCTCAAAAATACCTATTGGCTCCAAAGATAGCCTTGAATTGCAATTTAGACTTGAGAGTTGAGAGGGCCCAACATGTGATATTCTATCGACTGGTTAAAAGTGGGCCCAAAGCATTGATTTATTTTATTTATCTTGGTTCTGGGCCCTATCAAGATTAACTTTCTTGGTGGCGTAGTGGGAAGATTTGAACCGTAACCGGAAACAGAAAACAGAGGATTTTGATGAAGAGCGGCAACGTCAAACTGTTTTGTGCACGTTTACACCGGATGGTCGGCATGCCTGAGGGCCTGTGGCCTGTGGGTGGGTGTGGTAGGTAATTAATAAAATGGTAAGGGTATTATTGTACTTTTGTCTAATGAAGATTGAAGAGAAGCTCTGACAAGAAACCGAAAAAAGCGGTGCAGTAGACCTTGAAACGGCGGTTTCCACCTTCTACTGGGGCAGTTTTCAGAAGTCTACGGTGGTTTTCGTCCGCGTGTGGAGAGAGAGAGGAAGGATTTTAGTTTTACCAGCTCAATCTCTCTCCCTCCCTCTCTCTCTCTCTCTCTCTCTGTGAAATTTGAAAATTGTTTATGTATTTTATAAAGTCGTCAGGGGTTTTGGTGAGAGAGCAAAGAAAAAGCTTCTGCTATTGTTTCCTTGCATTCAATTCTCTTCGATTATTATTCTTTTATATCTTTTAAGCTCTTTAGACCAAAAACAGACTCTCTCCCACGTCCCAACTCTCTTCTGTCCGTGGTGATGGAGTTCGGGAAATGATATTCGTGGAAAGAAATAAAGCGCCGTTTCACCATTAATGGAGTAGTACAGAGCTGTTAAAGCAGATGAGGAAAGAAACCTAGCTGGGCTCCTTTTGTTTCATGGCTGCTAATAAAGGCAACAACAGCCGAACGGAACAACAACAACACCACCATCAAATTTCTTTTGGGATGATGCAATCAACTTCGTCTGTCCCTGGAAGTCTCATGTAATTATAGATGAAAGCAAGAAAAGCCAAACCCATGTTTTCGTTTCCCGTCAATTTCCTTCGATAATTGAATTAATTACTGGTGCAAAGTCTCTTATCGTTCTTGTTTGTGACAGCGGAAGTAAGGATACTGGAGCTTATGACGTGGGTGAATTGGATCAAGCCCTCTTTTTGTACTTCGAAGGACAAGATCACTCATCACTTCAGGAACAAAGACGTGAGTTTATCATCATCATCATCCTCTTATATGCATCTCCTTTTCTGGTTTTTTTTTTCTTTATGGATTTTACTTTTGATCTCTATAGCTATTTCATGGGAACCAGAGATAGCTGTTGATATTATTTATAATATCCTTCTGCAATAGAGATCGTTTGGGTAATGAGAAAAGCGTTTTGAGCAGATGAACAATTGAAATCTGCGTTTGTTCCGTACTGTTTTGATTGGATTCATTCCGAGGAAATATGTGAAATGAAAATTTGAATTTTGGGAAAAAAAAAATTTACTGTTCTTTTCGACCATGACATATCAACAAATTGATCATAAGTTCCTTGCAAATTCTAGCGTATTGGAAAGGCTAGGAGGAGGGTATATCAGTTTTTCTTCTTTTCTTTTCCTTCATCTTTCTTTCTTCTTTTTTTTGTTTGGGACGCCTGAGAGCGTCAAATGTATGATGATCCTAGAACTCTTGTATTTCTCTCTCATCCAACTATTAATTATATCGTTGAAAACCAATATATTTGTGCAGAGAACCCAGTGATCAGACCACCAACTCTGAATATCTTCCCTTCTCAGCCCATGCATGTAGAGCCATTTACTGCAAAGGTATGGGATTCAAATCTAGGAAGATTCTTTTTTTTTTAATTCATTTCTTCTGGGCTTCGTTTACTGATAATTTGAAGCGGGTTTCTTCTATTTTTCGCAGGAAAGTGTAGCTTTAATTTCTACAACAAGCAGTGGTTCAAAGAGATCATCAGGGCCGGCCATGGAGTTGGCTAATCCCCGGAAGGATTCGGCATCTGCTACCGAACCACCCAAAACCGTCAAGGTAGGATTCCGGATAAGATTATTAGAAGAAAAAAATTAATTATCTCGAGATTATCGATCTCCAAATATTTTTCTGTTTCAATTCATCAGTACTTGATTCTTGTTAATTTTTGTTTTCGGACAGCGTGAAGCAGTAAACCGCAAGGGCCCAACATCAAGTTCAGAGCAAGAAGGACCAAAAACACCAGACCCAAAGGTGACTTCTTTGATCGCCTTTCCACGGAGAAATAAATTTATACTTTTTGCTGCTTCTCTCAAACAACGTCTGATACTGATCATGGCCGTGCTTTCATTTACTTCTGACCAGACATTAAGAAGGCTCGCTCAAAATAGAGAAGCAGCTAGGAAGAGCAGGCTACGGAAGAAGGTCAGTCTACTGTCTGCAAGTAAATTAACTAGTTTTAGTGCTAATGAGGGAAAAATATGGATCTTTGATTTCTTTTTTATTTGGGATCCGTCACAGGCTTATGTTCAGCAGCTAGAGTCAAGTAGGGTAAGGCTAAATCAGCTGGAACAGGAGCTTCAAAGGGCTAGAACTCAGGTTGGTCTCTTTGAACAACCATTCCAAAGCTTCTAATCTCGAGATTTTGGACACTGCTGAAAAATGCAGGGTTGTTTTGTTTCTTGACTAGGGTATATTCTTTGCTGGAGGAACTCTCGTAGGAGAACCAGGCATTCCTGCTGGTATCAGCAATCTAAGCTCAGGCATTCCTCTATTCCTCAGCCAAATTGCTTCTGTACAGCTCAATTTGCCAATGCCTCGTAGTTAAATTCAATTCATTTACTGATCATGTTCATTGTGTTTCAGATGCTACAGTGTTCGACATGGAGTATGCGAGATGGCTCGAGGAGAACCACCGGCTCATGTGTGAGCTCCGAGCAGCTGTGCAAGAACACTTACCGGAAAACGAGCTTCGTCTCTTCGTGGACAATTGTTTAGCGCACTACGATGCGATTATGAACCTCAAGAGCATGGTCGTAAAATCTGACGTTTTTCATATTGTCTCCGGTACGTGGAAAACTCCGGCAGAGCGCTGCTTCATGTGGATGGGAGGATTCCGGCCATCCGAACTAATAAAGGTACAAACCCAATAAATTCTTCATATCATTTTTGAAAAACCATTCGTAGAAATAGAGAAACAACTGCTCCGCTACAAGTTAATACATATTCCAGCTTGGATTGCCAGAAATATTAGGTTCTACCAAAATTATGTCTTTAAAGAACCCAAAAAATTGACGTTACATAGAGAATAATTAATAGCAAAAAATCGAATAGACATAGGTTTGAACACCTAAACCTAACCTGTGCTAGAAATTGGATTTGCGTTGAAAATGGAAATAATAAAGACAGAGAGAAAGTACAGAGAACGGAAGATATGACGGGAAACTGTGCGAGGAACTACCGAAGGAGAGATTTTTATTTAATGCATGAGGATTAGGTTGTCGGGATACTAAGTAATGGAATCAACAATGACGAAAGATATCGTGGAGGGTTGCTATTAAGGGTTGTGCTAGCGTAAAAAGAAGGCTTTTCATGCACGAGTACCCAACGCTTTTTTCATATTTTGAGTTTGAGCTCTGGAAATGTATACGTCCTCCATGTCGAAATCGACAACCCAAAACAACTGTTCAAGGCTGCATGCATTTCTTTCTTCCTCTTCTTTTCTTTTAATTCATTAGTTTATTACTTTTGGAGGCGGTCGGGAAAGGCTGAATTTGTTTTAGAAATGGCGCTTCACTGCCACAATTTCTGTTTCTGTATGAGAGAGTTTGAATAATGCCATGGAAAACGAGATGCTTAATTTGTTTCAGTATGCATCTATTCGTCGTTGCCGTAGATGCTGCATTCCAGTAATGTATTACGTAACTTTTCCATTAAAGGGTCGATTGTAGTTTATTCCCCTGGTGCTCTAAAGCTGTATCTATTACTTCCATATCCAGGAATCTCTCTTTCGATCTGTTCCGTTTGTCTGTCTAAGTTGATGAAACTCGAAAACTATTCATGCACCGTTCGTTTTGTCCTCTGCTAAATAAATAATCGAATCACCTGTACAGGTTCTGATGAATCACATCGAGCCATTGACGGAGCAGCAGATCCTGGGAATCTGTGGACTGCAACAATCGACGCATGAGGCAGAGGAGGCTCTCTCGCAAGGGCTGGAAGCGCTCCGCCAATCCCTCTCGGACACCATCGCTTCCGACGCTCTTAGTTGCCCTCCTAACATGGCTAACTACATGGGCCAGATGGCCGTCGCCATGAACAAGCTCTCCACCGTCGAAGGTTTCGTTAGACAGGTACGTGGCCGGAGCTCCTCCTAAATTCAACCTCCATTGCTCTTGTATTCTGTATTTACTTTTTGCGTGGAAGGGACGAACGGTCTACGAACTTACTATGGGAATCAAAACCATGAGCATGGACCCCACATGCTTGCACGCATGTGGACATGATGTCATGGTCCTAACCGTCTTCGTGTCTATCAGAGAGAAGACAGAGATATTAATACGTACGGTGAGGGGAAAAGGAGATTTCCTGGATTTGTAGATCGGGTTCGGGTCGAGTTGGCAAAGGCCGTACCCCTACCCCTAAGTATTGGTTGAACGGTCAATGATTCAACCTGGATCCGCAAGGTTTTTTTTTTTAATCAAAAGTATAGGTTTAACCATCTGGGTCGAATGGTTCTACCATCTACGCCAACCATGAATTAGAAACAACAGTTTGAAAAGGGGTAACCCGGAGGGTGATCTACCCGATTTGTTGGTTCACGGGTCGGGTCAACTTTTTGCCATTTTTTTTGGTGACCTCCGGTCAGGTTTAAACCGGGGTTAGGTTTTTCGTGGCCCTTTCTGCACTGCATAATTGAGGCAAGAAAATGTTGTTTGGTTGTGTGACAGGCTGATAATCTGAGGCAGCAGACCCTTCACCGGCTTCACCAAATCTTGACGACCCGGCAGGCGGCGAGATGTTTCTTGGCGATAGCTGAGTACTTCCACCGGCTCCGAGCTCTGAGCTCTCTGTGGTTGTCACGCCCCCGGCAGGAATAAAATGCTATAGGCAGGCGTCATCCTCTTCTTTTTGCTTTCTCTTTGCCTGTCCTTAGAGATCCCTTGTAGACACTTTTAACATGGAGATGTGTATATACAGAAGGAAAGACAACCATAACCAGCATAAAAGATGAAAACAGTAGATTGATGCATTTCATCTGTGAAACAGAAGCTTTAATCTCTCCCCTTCTCTCTTTCTCTCTCTCTCTGGGTTTTTCTAGTTTAAGAAATTGAGATGTAATGATTTGGCAGCCTTTTCTGACTACAAATAGAAGGACCCAGAAAAAGTAATTCTTACGGAAACAACAAAAAGGAAGAAATAAGAAGAACGGAGAGGAAGATGTTCAGAGGGGAGAGAGAGGGAAAGAGAGTGCAAGTCAAACGTCCATGTGAAACTTTTAATGGATTCATGGATGGCTTTTGGAAATTCTTGAACAAATGTGACAAAGAAGCTCCCGATAATGGACCTAGGTTTCTCTCCCCTTAATTTCTTATTCTTCTAATTTCTGTTGATTATATTGCATTTATTCCTCATATTAGGCCCATTAAGTCTACTTGATTATTTGTTTATATTATGGCCACATTCATGTCTAGCTAAGTTATTTATTTGAGTAAATACATTTATCTGGATTACTTCACATTTACAGTAATTTATTTTTCTGGGTAAAATTATAAAATGACTATTTTATTAAAAAAAAAAAGTGATATTATAGAAATTATCAATTTTCATTACCCATGGACAGATGATTTAAGAAAGATATTACTTACCCAGGTTGGAAATTCAGAAAGATTTATTTAGGGCTCACCAACTAATTACCCGCCCCCAGAAAACGAATAAAGCCTATGATTTTTTTTGGTGTGTAATATCCCTCATAAGAAAGAAAGTTATGAATTAAAAAACTAAGGTTATAATTTCTCCACTGGCCTAATACAATCGTTCTGACTTCTAGAAGACTTGAAGCAGCCTCTACCAAGTACCCTACAGTCCGGGAGGGTTGGTAGCCCGACAACTACGACAACTGCCCCCGAATAAAAGAAAAGATAAACTCCTCGGTCCCATGGTAAGCAACGTAGGGGGTCGGTGTGGAATTGGTCTGAATTCGGATAAACCCATCAGAAACTTCTATCCAAATTACATTTCTGGCGCAAAAATTAAAGCAAAGAAGAAATTAAGTAGGTATAATCCCCACCACAGGCCACAGTCATGAATCATGATCAATACTCCGCCTCACCCACAATTGATTAGTCCTTGCCAACTACCAAGCGGATGGGTTGCGGATCAGGTTAAATTGGCACTCTTGTGGTTACTGTTTTCAAAATCGGACCGGAAAAATCGGGAATCAGTCACCTGACCGGTTCCGTTTTCTTCCAAAACCGTTTTTCCCCCAAAATCATAGATTTTGGTCAGCAAACTGTTGAACCGGCTGGTTAACCATTCAAACAGTTTTAACTGTTTTTCAAATTTTTTATTTTTTGTCAGAACGGACCAGCTGTTCGGATCAAATGGTCGGACTGATCGAACCGGTAACCAGACCCCTAACCGGTTCGGCCACCGGTTCGTTTTTAAAAACCATGCTTGTGGCATTAGCAACTTAGGCTCCCGTTTGTTTTCGGTGCAATTCCATATGCACTAGTACAAATGCATGAGAAAATTGTAACATTTGGTTCATTTTTGTTTTGGGTCCTAGTTTATTTTGCTTTGTTTTCATTATAAATTGACAAAATAATTTACAACACAAAACAAAATTAGACCAAAATTTGTATTCAATTAATTTGCAGTCCCATACTTTTACACCAATGCAAATCATCATCATCATCATAATAATAATAATATAAAGAAAATATTTGTTCATCCCTAGGTCAACTAAATTTTAATTTTAACAATCAGTGGTTCGACATTTGAAACTAGGGTTTCAATTATTTTGTTTGAGGGTTAGGTGTATATATGTATGGACCATTCATGTGTATTTTGATTCTAAATAAACAGATTAAGAAAGCTTCTTTGTACGTAATAGTGTCTTCCCAACTTGCATTTCTTATATTTAGTACGAATACATCATTGATGTGCTATCAACTTAAACGCATGGAACTTAATATTCTGTGACGAATGACATTTGAGATCTCGAATGTCAAATTGGGGGTGGAAATATGTTGATTGAATCATTGAAATGTTAATTATTAATTAGGTGAGAGTGAAGGAACAATCCCAGACTAATGCAACAATTTTAATTTGATGCCTTAATTTGAACCTCGGGTGTACAGTTTCCAAACTGTATTCAATTGTCTGAACTTGAATTAGAAAATGATATGGTGGTCTGAAATTGATCTCTTTATAATTGGATCAGATATATCGATCCACCCCTTTTAGATCCAAGTCAATTCAATATATGTATGCTTCTGTATACTTGGAATTTAAATATGTTCAATTTTCATATAAGTAATTTTTTTTTTTTATTTTATTCATGAAATGTAATACTAAAGTCAATTTTTAGATAATTTTGTTAATAATAAATACTATTTAGATCATTTTTAATTTACTTTAGTTATGCTATTAAATATCCAATTTTAATTCTAAGTTCGATTCAAATCAAATATGGGTCTATCTATATCCAATTCTATTCTATCTATTTTTGTAGCGCCATTTGGGCTTGTTTGGCGCCAGGTAAATTCTTGAGCATGGCCTTACTGGGGTTTATTTTGGCTGTTGGGAGCCAACAATCTTTTCTGTTGAAAGAGTTTTTGGGTTAGGCATATTCGTAGTAGTTCACCAATTTACGGGCATATTTTTATTTTTATAATAGAAAAGGCTGTTGGTCCCCAACAGCCAAAGTTTTTCCGCCTTCTTCTTGGCTACAGCCTTTTTTTCTTTCTTTTTTATTATTATTTATTTTCTCTAATTACAGAATACTATGGTTTATATGATTGTAGTTTGAATGTTAGGAGTCTTAGGACCTTTTTGAGGGTTATATAGTAAAATGGGTATCGTTCAAAGTCAAACCCTAGGAGATACAATCTACCATGATCTTGTTGAATCGTACGTTGGCCCACCACCTAATGAGTTTCGAGGTATGCGATTTTCAATGCATCTAAAATTACCTTATAATTATATACATGGAATTGAGATCATTTCCTTACACCAACCTCAATAGCCACAGCCCTATCATGTATTAGAAATATTTTTCATGAATAACATGAGATATTTTCAATGTACAGTTGTTACATATTATAAAGTCGGTGTGAAGAACATTCTGTGAGAAGCAAATTCAAATTCACATATGTGGGGATCCGATGGATTAGAGATAAAATCATGCACAGCGGACTCGGTAATCTTTCGCTATTGAATACATCAATGTTCCATCTGGACCCACGTGGAATTCACACCTTATACATACCGAATATTAGTAGTTAGCTAGACAGAGATATTCCCCATGTACATGCACAGCTGTAATTTTACTGTTGATAGAGATGTGGGAACAGATTGTAGCTAGTTAGACCTGGTAAAAGTTTGACCCAACTTATAAATCCGAATCAATTCAACCTGAAAAAACAGGGTTAGGGTCTCATATTAACTACCTGAATGTTAGAATGATCTGAACTGATCCAACTCGAAAATAGGAGGTTGGGTTGTGTCATGGGCCAATCCATCTACCTGATTGTCAAATTTAATTGGGTCTATTTATGTATTGTTAAAATTTTCCATTTTTAATCTTTTCTATTTAGTTTTTACTCTTTATTGTTTACTCTTTAAATTGTTAAATATTTAAGTTTTTTTTTTATTTTTATTTAGAATTTTAAAGTTAATTCTTTAAATCTTGACATTTTCATGTAATTTATTTTTACATATAGGGTCTAGCATTTATGACAACCCAATCCAAAATTCAACCCAACCCATAATCAACCCGAATGTCTTGACCTAACCCAAACTAATTGCATGGTCTATAATTCGCAGATCCAAACCCGTTACTATTTATTCATTCTATGAATTCTTAGATAAATTTGTAATCCGTTTGAAATTAGAAATATTGGTATTAAAATCTTAAATGCGTATCTCCAACTCAACTGGCAAGGTAATAGGGCTGCAATTGGATCGGATATACTTACATTCAAATTTGATTTTATTGATATTAAAATTCAAATTATGTCAAAATTGATCAAATAATATTCATATATATAAGACTTTGTACCTATCACTAAGTAAATATGTATCATTATATAAAACATTAGCAGATTAGGACAGGCACATGTAGTGATAAGAGATATTTGACAAGAGAGGGGCGGCCCAAACCCAAAAGTTCAAACTCTGGTGGGCCTTCCTGCTGACTTGAAGGAAATAAGTGGCAGTATGCTGTAGGGCCCGGCCCGTATATGGCGTGTACTCCAAATTGGCTTTCTCATTCTCATCGTTACAAGAGGTCACCTGCTCACCTTGAAAGAGCAGCCATCTACACGCTGTCTATATTGTTTCATTTCAATATAGCTGGATCCCACACATTTTGGAAAAGGAAGATGTGTAGTGTAAGATGTTTTGTTATGGGAGAGAGTAGTTATGAATAGTTCTGTCAATTGTATTGGATTTGATCCAATCCGACCCAGTCTTATCCAATTCAATGAATATTCTAGACCATTTTGGATCAGTTGACTTCAATGCCTGAAATATCCAATCTGTTCAAATTAGTTTTAATTTAAATTGGTTTCAATTCAAATTTGATCCATTGACACCGATATTTATATTTCTATTAATAGACTGGATATTGATTCTATCTGACCCAATCTAATATAAATCCATTATGGATGGACTGGGTCCATTCCAATCTAATAAGTACTTTAGATTGGACTGGTCTAATTCAATATGCCTTATTGATCTGTCCAATCCGTCTAAATTGATTTTGATTTAAACGGTCCAAAACCAGAACATTGACACTCCTAAGTCCTAACTACCAATGGACTCCAAAGGTTAAATACTGGAATTCAACATCCATTTGGATCATTCTGGATTTGCATATTGGAGCTTGCATCTAAATAATAGACAAATTGGAGGTAGATTTAACTCCATATAGTTTGATTAGAAATTATTATATATTATACAAAATCAATTAATTTTTAATTTATCTATAATTTACTGCCGGTGGATTTGGATCCAAACCGAATCTGATTACAGCATTGATAAAGTTAAAGTTGGTAGACGGGGATGGCAATTTTACCCACAAAACTGGGTCTCCGATCTGAGCCACCCCGAACAAGGTGGAGTTTCCCCAGTCACAAATGCATATTGGTCGGGTTTTGGGAATTTTTTTTTGCCTCGGACTGGAGACAGGGCGGGGATGGGATCTGCTTATAAATCTCCGAACCCGCCCTGACCCTGATTGTGAATTATAAATATACCCTTTTATATATAATGTATTAAGGTATTAGGTTAGGAGTTAGGACTTCCGCCTGTTTCGTCTTCCTTCAACCTTTGACATACAAGGACTCAAAGAGTCACGAGTCTTCCTTCAACCTTCGCACAACCATTAATCGCCAGGCGCCACCGCCACCGTAGCACAGAGGAACCATCGATTGCCACACGACCACATTGATTCACTCTTCAGTCTTCATCTTCGAGACTTCTCACTTTCTCAGTCTAGTAGTCTTTTTTCGATCTTCACAATGAATCAATGATTCACTCTTCTTCCTCTCTCTCCATTTGTAACAGATCTAACAGCCCACTTTGTAATAGATCAACAACGGTTCTTAACTTTTTCTTCTTTTCTTTTTCTGACAATAATAGATCGCCGGGCGCCACCACCACTGTAGCAGCAAATTTCCCCGTCTTCCTTCGTTCTTCGATCTTCACTGCATTGTGGGATAGGTACGTGTCGAGGATTTCCCATCCCTGACGGGGCCAGAGATGAGGGTTGAATCTTTACCCGACAGTGGGGATGGGTGCAAGGATTTTAACCACGGGGTGGGGATAGGGAGGAGGGCCCCGCCCCATACCCATCTCGTTGCCATCCCTATCGGTAGAGAAAAAAGTTGCACTTCTGAGTTATTGCAACTCCAGCATTAGGCTTCATAGTATATATATATATATATATATATATATATAGTTGTATGATGATAAGCATGGCCTTTTCTATTTCAAATTATTCTTTATTTCCACGTTATGATCCTGTTAGGTTTGCAGGAATAGGGGTTTAAAATCAAACATTCGAATGACATTCCCTCTCATTCCAGCTGATTTCAATTCTTCCAACTACGAACCTAACTGACCCGATATGTATAGCCAGCCTTGTTTTGCTTGATGTCCTAATCTCAAGTAAAGCTATCATCAAGTTGCTCAGATTGACGTCCCAACTTCCAATATTACCTCAGCCATCTTCATAATTGGGTATCCCTTTCCCCCTACTATAGGGTTTAAATTTGGGCGGAGTGCAATCAAATTGGGTTGGTTTCGGTTATTTTTTGCTTTACAAGGTTAAAATCATGTTACCTAAATGCTGTGTGACACGATAGAAGTCACCAACTTTGAGAAGATGTCAAAACCGGCCGAGTAGCTTGTGCACATGTACATGCACGTGGGGCTTGCACACAAAAGTCATAGGAGCCACTCAACCCTTAGAAGATGTCAAATCTTCCCACGTGTGAATCCTTTGTTATATTCGCATGATGTCAAATCTGATGTACCAATGGAGACTAAAGACTAATTGAGGAGTGGTGGAGGTCGTGTGAACTGCAGGACTATAATGTACCCTACCATCATATCTATGTGAAGTTAAAAGGTTTAAAGTATTAAAAAAGGTAAAGTGTATCCGAAAGATAATTTTAAGAGATATATTGGGATATACTTGGGATGCATAGAGATATGGACGAAAAATTAAGATTAAAAATATATTACTAATTATGTTTACAAATTTTATATGATTGTAAATAAGTCATTTAAATGTAAAATATCATAATTTAATGATTTATATAAAATGTAATACATCGGGACATAATTATTAACCGCTGTAAAATGATGGAATAATTAAAATGTAAAAAAATAAAAAGTGAATGACAACTTTCAAAAACCAATATAATTAATCTTTATATTTATTATTATATAAATTTTAATAATTAATTATAGCATTTGTTAATAAACACTTGTCACTCATTAAGAAAAGTGAAAATTTACTTAAAATTAAAAATACATATAATCATGACAAACAAATATGTGTGGGCCATTGGTGAACTTGTGTTCGTTAAATTCATTTGACCAAGATTCAAATATTGATATAGCAAAAATTTGAAGCTTTTACACTAACAAAACAAAATTAATGAGAAGGAATCATTAATTAAAGGAACTAACGAGAGAAATTGAATTAGGCGCTAAAATTCAAATTTAAAATTAAATTTGCCTTGGAGTAATCGACTAATTAATGAAAGAGAAATTAGACTTAAATAAATGACATTAATGAGAGATTCGGTATTAAATATGGATTAATGAAATTAAGGATGAATCAAAATGATCACATGTATCAAACTATTTCGGTCTTGTATTGGCCGATACAAATCTGATACGAATGAAAAGAAACGGAACAAATGATTTATACATATTCCGCGTATCAGGTTCTTGTTAGAATGATACATATTGGCCAATACGTTACAATATTTTGAACTTTGTTGCTGACTGTAGAGTGAGCATTTGGGTTTATTCTGTTAAAAACCGAATTGAATAAATCAAAATTTTAAAAATCGTATTGAAACTAAATTATAGAAAAACCGAAATAACCAAAACTGAAATTTTTGGTTTGATTTTTGTTATTTCAGTTAAAACCAAATTTTAACGGTATATACTCTATTATATATTATAACATATAATATATATTAATATGTAAATTTATAATATTTATAATATATGTTATAAATATATAACATATTATATATTATATATTACATATTATGTATTATATCTTATATCTTATATATTAGATTTTATATATAATAATAGAACGTTTAGTTAATTTGATTAACCGAATTTCAAATTTTAAAAACTAAAACCCAAAACTGAATTAACCAAAAGCTGAAAATATCAAACCAAAAAAAAATCGAAACCAAAATTTTCGATAAACTGAATAATGCTCACCCCTAGCTGACTGGGAGGCTTGGGATGTATTCTCTTATCCACATTCTCCTCTTTCTTTCTGTAGCGCTATTCTTCCTTTATATTTAAGTGTAATTTGTTGAAATGATTTCTGTTTTCTAGTCAAGCTACCCCCCCCATCTCGTATTACTTCTAATTTGATTCAAAAAAATTCCCCCATCTTGTGTAGCTCATCTTGATTTGATTTAAAAAAAAAAAAAAAAAAATTCTTGTGCATTCTGGCTTGGGTTCGACTATGATATCAGAAGGATATGATATCTGAAAAATTTTTGACAAATCAACTAGTATCATAAATGTGATAGTCAATCAGGTGTCACTACAAGGAAAACGATCAAATCCAATGGACGTAGGACCGCCGACTTAGATCTCTTCGGACCGCCGCCTTGGTTCCATCAAAATGTTGCATCCATTTTTAGGCGGCGATCTAGACCACTGGCTTAGATCTCTTTGGACCGCCGCCTTAGGTTAGTCAAACTATTGTTTTTGTTTTTAGGTGGTGATCTAGACCGTCGGCTTAGATTTCTTTGGACCACCGCCTTAGGTCTTTTTTATGTCTAAGGCAGCAGTTGTATGACCACCGCAACTTTGTCTTTTTTTTTCATTTTTTGTATCAATTTGATTTCTACATTTTTTTATAGATCTCATGGCAGATAATACATGAAAAACAATTTAAATAAAAAAAAACTTTTAATTAAATTATTAATTATTATAATATCCAAAACGAAACTTAAATACAATATCCAATTGACATATAAAACGGTACAGTGCATTTAAAAAAATCTTCTTGAATAATATAACACATCTTCATATTTAACTCCAACACCCACAGTTGCAGCAACAGTAGAGCCACCCTTCTCTTATCAGCTCTTCTTTACCACTTTCTTCCAACCTAACAACTTGAGCAAATCTATTGGTCATCTGTTTTATGAAGTCACTAGATAGCGAGACTGGATTCCGGTGCTCATTGCCACCAACAACAAGGACAACCATCAAGCTGGCTTGTTGTTTCTTCCTTTCCTGCATGGCTTTCTGGTGATCCTCGAAAAAATTGAAATCACCCAAGATGGACATATCAATTTCAACAATTCTTGGAAATGTTCAACATTTCAATTCCTTGTTCCAATTTGACCTGCAAAAAATACTGGTATTAGATAGGAAAAGAAACTAAGGTTGACATGAAAACCCACATGGGCACTACATCAAAAGCAAACAAATAAAACACAAATCCAGGTAGAAGTCTCAAGGAACAAGAAGGTTCAACTGAACTGATATTGCAGAATTCAACAATTATGACATGATAGTACAGCTTTCTTGGTCCCATTTTCCTGTATCATTCACTCGTTATCAAGCATGGGGATCTTCCCTATAAATTATCTCAACACTCCCTTTAATTCAATATAGGTTTTCACCCATCAATTGTAACCGCTCAAAAAAATTGGCTCAATCAAGGTGTATTCTTATCAGAATACAAGAATTATCAATGGTATTTCCATTAACGACAAAACCACCAACAGGTGAATAGCCAATATTCATTGTGGATATCAAACTATGAATAAGAAATCAAAGGGATAACGCAACAAGAAAAGCCATACTAACAATGTCTCCCAAAAAATAAAAGGAAATCAATCAAATCAAAAAATTAAATCTATAGTTGAAACAAAAGAAATCCATAGAGGCACGTATTGTCCAATGGCCATAGATATGATGTAATAAAAAAACCTAAATATTTAGCATGCATTGGAAAATTCTTTAACTGTGCATCAAATTGAAATAACTTACTGTCAACTCCAAATCTGAATTTTCATGAATTTCTATACAAGAAATTCCTCAAAAAATCGATGTTAGCTTCAAAGAGAATAAATTCACATCAAACTCTGCATCCAATTGAAATAACTTACCGGTAACTCCATATCTGAATTTTCAGAAATCTCTATACTAGAAGTTCCTCAAAGCTTCAATCCTTCTTCAACCATCATCAAACTGTCCCTAAATTCCTTCTCTACCAGAATCTAGAGTTTAGGTATGCCACTATTCACCTTATCCATACAGATGCTTATGTCACCTATATGAACAATGATTTTAGCAGATTCCTTGGTCAATTAATATGTGTTTTCTATTCTTCGATAGCCCTTATAAAAAATTCAAACCCAATTTAATGCAGCATTAAAAGCCTCACTAAATTGTTCTCCATTGCATGTGCCATTGCTTTCAAAAGTAAAGAAACTAGCACCAGTGTTCAGGCTACTGTCAAGATGGTGGTTAATGGTAGGAAAAGCTATACATGAAAAGAGGAATAGAGCTTGGTGACAGAGCTCGATTCATTAACATGTGCAACCATCAGTTCTGCAACATAGCAATAAATTAATGTTATGTTAGTTCAAGTAATTTGATTCGTATCATGTTATAAAACCAAGGGTGGCAGAGGATCAAATTTGATTCGTATCAAGCAATAAATTAATGTTAGTTCAAGTAATTTGATTTGTGTGTTTTTGGCAATAGCCTCAGACAGAAAAGCTGCAAGTTCTCCCTTCCAATATAGTTTCGAAGTATCTGTACAGTACAAGAAAACATCAAGGATCAAATGGAGGTCTGAAATTATATTTCGAAAATAAAGTAAGGCTGTATAGCTTTGCCATTTCAGCTCTTTATCTTGACCAAGTAAAGAAAGCCAAATTCCATTCTGAGTTTACTTGTGCAAGTTTCAAGCAAAAGTCAATGAATTTTTTAAATTAATATTTTGAGTTCTATCTAGGAACTTTGTCATACATCATTAAATATGCAAACACACATACCTGTACAACCGCCTATATACCTGCCACCTGTTAAGAAAGAAACTGAGAACCTCAGAGATTACTCTAAAGGAAAATCAAAATGATAATGAGAGAACTTATTAATGCCTTATTTCAAAACAAAAGTAAATCCCAGGCCGTAGGAAGTAGGATAAGTTAGTTTAGTTGACTACATTTTCCTTCTTGTTCTCTAATGGAAGTGGTCCCCATCATTTTCCCACTATAAAGACAAGTAACTAATTGAAAATTTGTATCTTGTATACTTATTGTCATCTAAGAAACCCTTGCAGGCATTTCCCGCACGCATTTGCTCTGCAGCAGTCCTTTCAAGCCTTATAACTAGCATAATATTATGGTTAATAATCTAATAATTACAAAATGTATTTGCAAACAAACACAAAATAGATAAATAGAAGCCACATATAGTATAGAACTTGGTCTTCTAGTAGTTGAAATTCAGAAAAAAAAAAAGAAAAAAATACACAACCCATTGTTGGCAAACTACTGAGAACTGCACTAACATTGACTTACAAGTATATTGAGGGCATTTGTATATATTCCTACAACCTGTTCATGTCAGGCAAAACATTACCGTGTGTGAGAAACAGCACTCCAGAACCAAGAATTCATTGATAAGAGCCCATAGATATGCCACAAGGTGGTGTACTCATAATATGTCTTCTTATTTGGCCTCAGAGGCAATTTGTAATACAGCAAAATGAAAAAAAGACAGCCATCCATGGAACTGTATTTCAAGGTATAATGTAGAAAGTGCCACAGAAACAGGCTCCTGAAAACATGAATAATGTCTCTTTTTAAACTATTCTCTTATCATTTTACTAGAGGCAGGTAAAGCAGACAAAAAATTAAGATTTAAGAAACTATTGATTTCAAAGTGGCACTCAAATATACAAATACTAGGATACTAGGATTCAAACCTGAATGCCAAGACACACCAGAAAGGCCACTTTCCATGATATTTGACTGGTTTGTTACCGAGTTTCTCTCTCTCCCTTTCTCTATCAAGCATGGTACCGACAGTCACTCACAATCCCACTGTTTCCACCTCAGATATAGTGGTTCTTGCATGTACCATGGACCATCAACAAGGATCCCATCGGATGAGAACCTGCAGTGCTGAAAACATGCATGTATCCCCAACACAACCAGTCTTCTCACACTGCTCTACACAAGACCTCGAATCCAAAATTTTATTATGAAATTATAATTATAGGCCTAAAATCCAAAATCCGAAAGCTTTGGAATATTTGGGGTTTCTTTCACTAGTAAGTTATAACAATAAATTTCTCATTTGTTTTCTCTGATAAAAAACCACATATGACAGAGGAGGAAGAAAACTATTAAAAGAATGATTAGAGCTTACCTTCTCTTGCTCGAACGAACAGGTCAGTGCTTGCTTCCCAGAAGTTTCCCCTTCTAAAGCACAAAGGACCCCTTCTCAAACGAAGAAGTCTGCTACCTTGAATCGCACAAAACTGATTCTGCTCTGCAATTTATCTTGCTCGTGAAGAAAAAAAAGCTTTTCTGAATCACAACACTGATTCTCCTCTGCGATTTATCTTGCTAGTGAAGGAGCCTTCGCGCGGGAGAAGGAAAATTTTCCCTCCCCGCATTTGGTTGGTCTGTCCAATCGGAATTTATACCGGTTTTAATTCCGGTTTGATTATAAATCCGCCGAAGGTATTATTGTAGACCGCCGCGTGAGCCATATGTTTATTAGTATTAATTACTTAAAATAATTAATTTGTCAAATTTTAATCGAATAGAAATTTAAATATTTAATCAAATTTGAATGCACATACTAATTTTTATTATTTATCGGATATCAAATCAAATTCAAATATCAAATTTTCATATTGTCTAATTCCATTCGTTTATATCCCTAATTAAGGTATTTGGAAGGATGCTTTCATCGAGACAAATAATCAAATTATTCTGCTTTTATATAATGACAAATGGAAATAATAGCCCACAAAAGCAAAGCATATTTATATCATGAACTATTACCTAATTAAATTTCAAACAATTAATTAATTAAATCTATGTTCATACAGCAACAGATACATTTAGCATTTGGAGAGAGGTGGGCCACACAAGCAGAGATTATGGGCAAACGATTGAGCAGGGAACTGTTGCATCTTCCCACCAAATGGAATCTTTCCACACAGTCGATTATAACTCAAATCCAGCTTTCTCAGAGCATTCAATTTGGTGATCTGCTTGGGAATTTTCCCCCGGATTCTGTTGTGTGCCATTTCCAAAACGTTCAGCTCTTTTGGAAATCTCACCTTCGACAAATCAAACTCGAGATGGTTATCGGACAACATGATCGCGCGAGAGGTTGAATTCTCCTTGAATAACACCGACGGGTCCCCAGTGAGCTTGTTATCCGAAACATCGATCACTCTGAAGTGCAACTTCCCTAACGATTTGGGTATTTCACCGCGTAGATGGTTGCCATTTAGGAGGAGAGAGAAATCCTCGTTCTTGTCAGAATTAAATCTTCCGAATGAGTCGGGTATGCTTCCGGTGAGTTTGTTCGACGAGAGATCAAGAGTAGTTAGTTTCTTGAGATCTGAAAGGGAAGCTGGGATGGGTCCAGAAAGATGGTTGCCGCTCAAATTTAACAAGTCAAGGTTTTTAAGCTGGCGGAGGCTACCTGGGATCGACCCAGAAAGCTGATTGTCGGACAAAATGAGGTACCTGAGGTTTTCGAGCCTGCCAAGGGAAGCTGGGATTGGTCCAGAAAGCTGGTTGCTGGATAAATCGAGATTCTTGAGCTTGTTTAGTTGGCCGAGGAATCCTGGTATGGGGCCGGAGAAAGTGGTTCCAGATATCTTGAGAATTTTCAGGTTCTTTAATTTGGTGAATGAGTAGGGGATGGGACCATGATGTCAAGGTCTGTAAATGCAAGTTCTCTAAGGTAGGGGAGGTCGCCGATGGCCGCCGGGATGTGGAAGGGGACGTAGATTTGATCAAAGAAGAGTGCAGTGACACGATTGGTATTTGGGTGGCAATCGACATGTTCCCAGTGACAACAGTCTGTCTTGGGAACCCAGGAAGCAAAGTAATCTGGTATGCTAATTAGGGATTTCTTGATTGACAAGAGCGCTGTTTTGTCAGCTGGGTTGCAGCGGAAGGAGGAAGCTGAGAGCGTGGGATATGGAAGAGAAGATAAGAAGACAACAAGGAATATGAGAGAGAGAAGAGAGAAGTGTGAAGAAGACATACTCACACCACTGTTCTTCATCATCAGATACCAATGTTTATCAGTTCTCAGTTTGGATTGAGGAAACATGGAGTGGTCGAGCTTTGAATTTATAGACGTTGTAGTACGGAATATTGACCGGTCATTCATTACTCGTTCGTATTCAATCCAAAAATAGAAAATAGAATGTTTTTCCATGGTTTCTGCTTCCTCTAGCTCATTCCCGTTTACTTCCTTTGTTTGTCTCTTTGATTTCCGTGTGATAGACATAAAATAAATTTATAAAAATAATAGAAAACCCGTCGTTGGGACGGGAAACCAATGGATTCAGAAGAGTTCAGATTACAGAGACTCAGTATATATCAACCAAAATACTTTACCACATTGAACTGGTACTTGAGGATTGAACGGGTCTCGTAAATTTAAAATCCCAACCGTCCATATCGGATAATATAGTATTGTATACTATGTACAGATATAACCACAGATTAAAGAAAGCACATGAAAATGCAGATTGAATGGTGTCAAAACTCAGATTGGGCCGAGCCAGGTCTTAGAGGCCTTCATATGTCAAGCCCATATCAATGTGGAAATGATCAGTTGAACGGGCCTTAAGGTTGGATCCACTATACTAACAGCAGTTCAAGCCAACTGGTTAGGTTACAACATGAAATTCATTAATTTATGATAATGAAGGCACAAACACCACCGAGCGACAACTCGATCATTAAGGAAAATAATTAATTGATATACTTTCATGGTTGAAATGCAAATGCATTCTGAGTTATAATTACTTATATACCCTGTGTTTAAGGAAATTATTTAAAGATATCCTATAATTTCAAAAACTGCTTATATATACCATATTCTTTGGGTCAATTGCTGAAACCTTCCCTCAAGTTTTGGAATGTTGATGAAACCTCTCTTCTTAAGTTTGATGATTGCAATCATTTTCCTTGAACTTTTTGATACAGTTGCAAATAGATCCTCTCTATTAGAAGACAAGAGGCATGAAAATGTCCAAAATATACTCATGTAGTTATCTTGACCAAAATGTTTATTTTCTAATTTATTCTCTTCATATCAATTGCTACCCTTAACCCTTCCAATCTCTTTTCCAAAATCGATTTATTTTTCAAATTTTCCCTTCATATCAATCACTTGAAAGGTAAAATTGCATGATTAGGTCATATGAGATGGGCCTTTTCGCTTGTTGAGTCATCTTGTAGACTAAAAGTCCACCCGTTCTATGAGATGCTCTATTCATTTTTGAATAGTGATGCTTTGTTCTACGAGATGACTCATTTGTTGAATGGGTGGACTTTCAGCCTTTAATTTATGCATAGGCCTTTTTGCTTTGGTTCGGTCTTTGGGGAGTGTGCCATCCTATAGTTACTACATGATTAGGTCTATCCACAATAGTTCTTGCTGTACTAGGAGGATCATTATGTTAGACAGTTATACCCTTGACTCCAATCAAATTAATGTACCTTTTGACATTTATTGTAAATGAATAAAGTACATAATTGATTCATGTCAATGTGATGTATTTCTATGTAATACCCTTAAACTGGACACTTATGAGAGTCGTGTTAGTTTAGAATCTTCACAGCCGTTGGATAGACCTGGGGAGATTTATCTTGCCAAGACTGACACTGATGTACCGCCAAGTTGGTTGGGGTGGCTTGTCTCAACTGTTAGTGTGAGACCTAAGGTACATGCAGTGTGGGTTTTCTTGAAGCCCTGAATCGGACCGAAATTCCAGTATTTCCCTGGACCTTGGAGATAGGTGAGCAAAACTGTAATGTTACACCTGATCCCTATACTCGATTGTGGTATTGCATCAGATGTCGGATTGGGCTGTCTTTGATATGCCAATCAATGATATCCTTAAAGGGGGTCAAAACCTGAGTATGTTGGGACAATTCGAGAATTCATCTGAGTGGGTGATCATAGTGATAGTGATAGGATCAGCCCCTTTGTCGGACAAAGTGAATGATCGGGGATACACTATCTCTAATGGAAACCTAAAACTGTCGGCAGTTGATTTCAACCATTGAAATTTGTTTTTGCAAAATATATTCATATAAAGATATACATATATATTATGGTTTCAAAATGTTTGCAAAAGGTTTTAATTCCCGGGATCCATGTGAGTAGAGAGTGCAACACTATTCCTTGCAGCAGAGGGAGAGGTCCTCTCTTATCAGACAGTGTTTGATCATTATGGGCTAAGAGGTTAAGTGTAAGACCATTGAGGGTAATACCTGATGGGCTAATCTTGCATCAACCCACAGTCCTTGGGTTTTCATAAGGTGGCTGGACCCAATGACCATTTATTGTAAATGTTGGGCCCGTTAAGAGCCCATGGTGATGGACTTAGGGATTCACTATCTCCTATAGTGAATTCAACCAGGCCTTACAAAGGCTAGGTTGAACCCATGTGGCTGATGTGTAGATCAATGTTTGGGTCCTACGCCATGCAAGGAGTGCCAACTGGGCAGCAGGTTAAGAGGTTAAGTGAGCACATAAACTTAATGGACCTAAAGTTCAATTTGAATTGGGTTAACTAGATTAATTAAATAGGGGCAGATATGGGTTTGGATCAACAAATAAGGATAAGAGGATAAGTCTTATCCACTTAAAGAGTTCAGATCCAAATAAAGATTTGCATCAAGAAACTCCTAATTTGATTAGGATTAAGCTGATCTTAAACTACAAATAAGATAATGGATTATCCTTATCACTTAAAGAGTCTAGATCCAAATAAAGATTTGGATCAGGAAACTCCTAATTAGATTAGGAGGTTGTCTCTTTAAGGCTATAAATAAGAGAGCAGGGCGGACATGCAAGACATACCAAACAAGACACAGAAAAGAGCAGAGCTCTTCCCTGTTCTTGCTGCCCCTACCTAGTTCGATCTTCACCCGTGGGAGTGATCAAGAATTGTTCTTGATATTTGATGAATCGATTTTTTGGTGATGTATCAATTTTTTGTGCTAAGTACCTCATCATTTGGTTTGCTTCCAAGTGGCCGATGACTCAGAGGCCGAAGTGAACTTTTGCTGGATGAGGACCTGGATGCCGAGCTGACCAGGCCGAGCTGGGAGCATATTAGGTGCCGAGTTAACTAGGCCAAGCTGGGCAGGTTAGGTGCCGAACTGACTGGGCCGAGCTAGGTAGGTTAGGTGACGAGCTGACTAGGTCGAGCTAGGCAGGTTAGGTGATGAGTTGACCAGAGTGTCAAGCTGCTTATTAGTTGCCGAGCTGCCTATTAGGTGTCGAGCTGGATTGATTATTGAGCTTCGTCGTTCTTTAGAGACCTGCGAGGAACCAATGTCAGAGGACCTGGGGTGGCTAACCCGGCGAGGTCGCTCTGATGCTTAAGTCAATACTCTCATAGTAGATTGCGAGCTAAAATAACAAAGTATGAGAGCTAGAATATGCTTACTTGCCCCCTCATGTCATTGGGGTTGGTGCCTTTATATAGGCATTGTTTGGCGTGGCTTCACACACCATATCTGAGATTTCTGAGAAGTTATCTAAGTGGTCCAAGATTCGCTGAGGTAACCGCCATGCACGTTGACCACCCTCCGGATCGTTCAGCACGTGGGCCAACTTCCAAGGATCGTGGGAGTGTTTGGATATGCATGCCGAATCTGTCGTCGAGCATGTCTCGTAGGTCGCCAGGTCGGTGCCTGGGCCAGGCCGCTAGGTCGCTCCAGGGCCAGGTCATGCCAGAGCCAGGTTGTGCCAAGGCCAGGCCGCCAGGTCGTGCCTGTGCCAGGTTGCCAATTCGCGCCAGGGCCAGGTCGATAGGTGGGACACTATCAACTTTGCTAAGGCAAGTTGTTGCCAAAGTGGTTCCGGGTGTCACCTAGTTGTTCCGAGGTGCCATGTGTCACAATATCATTGAAGGGCCAAATCCACCCTCATCAATATTGTTTCTTGGCAGAAGAAGCAATCTGAAGTCCTGCTCACCAGCCCTCTACTCCATTCTTGCTGAAGAATTCGGTTCTTGCTGAAGAGTCGTCCTGTTGATCCTGCTTCACCTCACACTGTGTCATTTTTAGTGGAAGAAGGTTTTGGTTTTCTCCTTGGGCGTGAACACCTTCATTGGGAGTTACTGCTACTCGGTATCAGGTATATCCCTCTCCTCCCTTTTGGTTTCAGATCTGGTCCAGTTTGGTTCAAGATTGATCCTTGAAAATACAGTTTTCTAAAATAGGGAATGCGATTCCCAGATGGGAGAAAGAGAAATTTTTGAAAATTTGCCCAACCTTCCTGTAGGGTTCGGCCATCCATATGATGAATCACTCATCCCTTCAGTGGTATCAGAGCCCGGTTCAAATCTTGAACCAAATTAAACCAGATCCGAATCTGTGCAAATGGGTAGAAGGTGTTCTACACAATTTGCGCAGTTAACATTTTTCTAGGAAATCAGTTCCTAGTTTTGGGCGAATGATCTGAAATTAAATCTTTATTAATCTGGTTTTATATTTAGAACTGTTCTATATATTTTTCTTGGATTTTGGGCTGTTCATATGGTGGAGATTGAATTCTTTAAATGGCGCAAGAAATCTGCGCACCTACTGATTTATTCTATTCATTCTTGGTATATAATTAATT